CATTACTGAATCGCTGACCTAAATTAAATTAAAAACCGACACCGGAAACGGGTAAATACATTTGTGGTGACACTACGCACAATAAAAGACGATATAATCTAAACTTAAAAATCAGAAGATAAAAGAGAGAGAGAGAGAGAGAGAGAGAGAGAGAGAGAGAGAGAGAGAGAGAGAAGAAAAGAAAAGTAAATAAAAGAAAAGAAAAAGGTGGAAGTTGGTGGTGGCAACTAAAACCGAAGGACATTTATAAAAGAGCCGCTGTACAATCAAGAAAATATGACAAAAATAAAGTAATTACGATTCCAATATAAGAAATTATAACCATGGAATATTAGTGTTTAAGCCTTCTGATTATATTCTTACTCTGTCCTGGACATTGAGTTCTACCTGAATTCTATCCTCTTGGAATTTTTTTACAGATATTTGTATGTGTATGCATGTATGTATATATATATATATATATATATATATATATATATATATATATATATCTGTGTGTGTGTATATTAACTACTAATATTATCTATATATATATATATATATATATATATATATATATATATATATATATATATTGATTTAAAATATGGTTTCTTCGATACACAGGAATTACCATGTTTCAAAAAGTGAAGCTAAAAACTTCAAATTTAATTAGATATAATTAATATAATGCATTAAATTACAAAATTCGCTTGAAGATGAAACAAAACTAATGCTTCGTGTAGCGAAGAAAAACCATATTTTTTAAATCAGTTAATTTATAATATTTATGCTCTGTAAATTTATATATATATATATATATATATATATATATATATATATATATATATATATATATGTCCGAAATATTATATATGCAATTTTAATCAAATTTTACAGTATTCTAAAATGATACTGATTTATAACCATATGAATTTAGAAACCTTTATCTTAATATAATTTCTTTTTGCACAATAATTTTACTGAATTAATTACTCAAATTAGCCCCTCAAATATGGAGGTCTCGCAAGGGTATTTAAGACACATGATGTTTTATGATTTTTAAAAAAGGAAACTCTAGAACCGAAGCGATTCGAAAGTTTCAATCAGTTTGTGGAGAAGATTGCACAAGTGAAAAATTTAGCCTTGAAGATGAAGAGCGAACATGGCGTCCAGTTGAGTTTGATGATGACTTCTTTGTGGCATCACTTGAAGAAAATCCTGCAGTATCAGTTAAAGAATTGGTAAAGAAGCTTCGTTCAAGCTATATAACTGGTCATCGTCATCTTCAACAATTTGGAAAGGTTCCTAAACTTGGCAAATGGCTGCCTCATGAATTTTTTGAAGTCAACCGCAAATCCCGAGCTGACATTTGCTCTTCTCTTCTTGTGAACTCGTCTCGTCCATTTTGGAGAGACTTCTGACTGGTGATGAAAAAATGATTTTTTATCAAAATTATAAACGTCATCGACTGTGGCATGGTAATGGAGAAAAGGCCCAACCACAACCGAGAAGAGAATTTCGTGCTTAGAAGGTTCCTCTTTCAATTTGCTGGGATTGCAAAGAAATAATTCACTTTGAGTTGCTACCAACTAATGCAACAATCAATGCTCAAGTCTACTGCCAGCAATTAGAGCGTTTGAACGCGGCTTTGAAGAAAAAAAAAATGTTTTAGTGAGTGGTGTTTAATCAGGACAATACATGACACCACACTGCAAAAATCACATGCCAGAAAATTGAAGAATTTGTTTGATAAAGAATTCCTCACCCACCTTATTCAGCCGACCTTGCATCTTCAAACTCACATTTATTCCGTACTTTGCAGAATCATAAAAAGACATAAGGAGGTCGAAACTGACATTTTAGAGTTCCTTGCTTCGAAACCGAAATAGTTTATTAGTGGAATTAAAAAGCTTGTAAGCAGATGGAAAGAATTATAAATAATCTTGGAAACTACATTAATGAATAAAGTTCAATAAAATCACAATTTGATCACTCTTTATTTATTATTAAAAATCCGGACAGAACTTATGGGATGACCTGATATATATATATATGGTATAATGATATATAACATTTATATATCAGGAACACTTTTGAAAGAACAGATGTATGAGAGACTGGGAAAAATGTTTCGAGTTTCATCCTTTAGGACTTCATCTTTAATATAAATATATAAGTGGCCATTGAAGTCAGCACCCAGCGGCGACAGTTACATGCTTATACGCAATCACTAGGCCATATGCGCAGTGTTTTTGCTTGACTATTTATATATACAGGTTAGTGATCCATTGTGCGTGGTCTATGGTATTGGTTTAACGGTTATTTTGATGGGCGGTAACGGTTATGTTTTGAATTATTCTATGGGCTATTGACTTCATATATTTATTTATTTATCGGTTTGGATCAATTTATTTGATTTATTTTTGTTTATTTTATTATATATTTTTTTTATTCTTTCTTGTTCGTTTTTTTAGTTTTCGATTTTTAAGTTTAGTAAATAATAAACAAATTATCAGACGACGAACGCACACATAAGCACAAGTAAATGTATTAATAACAGACAACAAGATATTCAATAAAAAAGTTAACAAACAACATTAACTAAAAGTAACCATAAAACTGCATCCGGGTGTACAATTATGTCCACTCAATCACCCATAAAATAATTTCATTCCAGACTCGGGGTTCTAGAGGTGAGGAAATTCTGACAGAAGTGATCACAAGTCAGGAGAGCAAACAGTTAGGCGTGGTTGGCGATATAATTGCGATGTCTATGCGTCAAATTATTAGGCTTTCTGTTGTTTTTTTTTTGTTTCTCCATCACGACTCTTACTTTAAGTTCCTCTTGAATATCATTATAAGAGAATGAAACCCGTAGACCTTAGCAAGGATCATCTTTCTTTGAATTACTTTAAAATTAGCGTTTCATAATGACAAACAAAGGACTGTAACAAATAACAGAAACCACAACACTTGACGTCTTTCAACAGCAGAAAATGGAGATCATTACATAATCAAAATGTTGAGTTTTCCCCACTACTTTGAACATAAGGTTAGAAAGGAAACCTGCATTAATACTTTAAAGAGCGATAACTCACTATTTTTCTGAAAAGTTGTTTTAATAGAAAAATTTTATAAATTTCAACCGGCAGTATCACTGGCTGTTCGGTGAATGTATGTTGAATAGTTGCTTATAAGGAGATGGCAATTATTACAATTACCATTATATAACTAAAGAAATAACAATTACTTACCAAGTTTTCGCTTTGTAAAACGTATCTTTAATTTGGCAAGGAAAAATTCAACTCCCGATTCTACCTACAGAAACATGAATGTAAGAAGATAGAAATGGGAAATTTACTAAGTTGATAGAGATAACAGACGAGACCTGATCAAGCCTCATAAATAAAAAATACAGCCGACAGTCGCCACGGTAGACACTAGTTACATATTCTTGAGATAACGATAGATGAAATAATGCTGGCTCTTCATAATGTGAAACATGGTAAAGCACCAGACGTCGATGACATTGAAACAGAAAGATGCAAGCAAAGAATTCTGCAAACGATCTGTACAGCTCAGTATGTACGACGTGCAATAGAAGTTTAAAATTCAGTTTTAAAACCCAATTCTATGCTTATTATAAAGAAAATATTTACGAAATTAATAACTCAAATCGTATTTTATTACTTCTGAATAAAAATTGTTCTGAAAGCATAAACTGTTTTCAAAAGTACTTACAGACTAAGGAGGAGACTAAATAAAAATCGGCAATGATTTAGAATTGAGTACAATATTTCCAAACAATAGACCAACTGACAGAAAATAACAAAATATTACAGGCTCGTTTGTAAAACTTTAGTAGAGTATAAAATGTCATTTGAATCACTAGAACACTTGGCAGTTATTAACTTACTACAATGGCAAATTATTAAATATATATATGTATATAAAAATAACGAGAAGAGTACTGCAAAGATTCTGGCTACGATAAGACATTGATAAAGATTGGAAAAGTGAGATCCTCGGAAACGATCATATGATTACAAGAAATTAACTAACTGTAAAAAGTACAGGAATACATTCCCATAAGGCAGGTAATAGAATTAAAGAAAGACCATGAAAACGAAAGAAAATGTCATATATGACCGGAAAGCATCTAATAAGAATAGATGGAGTGAAAAGCGTTCTGCCAATGTGTTTAAAACATCAAATGTATAATGAATATATAAGTGTCTGATATGGTGTACGAGAATGAGATGTTGAAATTTAAAAATCACTCCAAAGCTGGGTAAGAAAAGCAAAAAGATAAATGAAAAGAGGAAAGTTGGGGAACAATTCTAGGAGATAAAAAGAAAATCCGGATCAGTGAATAAAATAAAATAAGAAATACCAAAGAAGTACGTTGAAGAAGGTAAATAAATTAGAAAGGATAAAAAAAAATGGCGCAAAAGTTTGGTTGATTGGCGGTCAATAGACAAAATATGCAGACGGAATCGATCAGACCGAGGATAAAGAGATGAGACAGAAGAATTTAATGTTGAGAAATGTCAAAGAATTGCAAAGTCACAAACGTCATTGAAAAGAAAGTGAATTTTCGATAGTTATGCAGCTGACAGTGATGTCTATACTGATTAAACTGGCAAATTCAATATCGATTCAAATAACGTATTGATTATACCCACAATATTTTCAATACTTTGTTTTTAAGCTTTTATTAATGAACAAATTTACTCCATATGAAAATATAAAAACGGTGTTTCCAAAGTTATTAAAATTATAGGGTTGATCTGATGAAAAATGTTTTTCAATGCTAACAAAAATTATAGGTTTTATCTGATGATATATAAGACAAGGTGTCTAATGTTAACAAAATTATAGGAGTGCTTCTATGATCTATAAAAGCGTTTTCCAATGTTAACAAAATTATAGTAAAAAAATTGATGATCTATAAAAGCGGTTTCCAATATTAACAAAATGATAGAATTGAACAGATGAACTATAAAAATCGTTTTCCAATGAGAACAAAATTTGAGGATTCATGCGATGATCTATACAACACGGTTTCCAATGTTAACAATAATATAGGATTGGACTGAGAAACTATAAAAAACGGTTTCTTATGGAAACAAATGTATATGATTGGTTAGGAATTAAGAAATGTGTCCAATGATAACAACATTATAATATTAATCTGATAATCTATAAGAAATGATTTCCAGTGATAACAAAATTGTAGGTGTGATCTGATGATTTATAAAACCGGTTTTCTATATTAACAAAGTTATAGAATCGATCTTACGAAAAATAAAAAGCGGTTTTCCAACATTGGCAAAATTAAAGGCACGATCTGATGATCTATAAAAGCTGGTTCTAATATTAAGAATATTAAAGGATTGAACTGAAGGTCTATAAAAATGGGTTTCAAATAATAAAATTATATAATTGATTTTATGATCTATATGACACGATTTGCTATGTTAACAAAATTATAGGATTAATCTTATGAACTATAAAAAGCGGTTTCCAATTTTAACCAATTTACAGGATTGAACAACTATAAAAACGCTTTCCAATGTTAACAAAATTATAGGATTGATTTGATAATTTATAAGACATTGATTCCAATGTTAAAAGAATTTTAGAAGTCCTTTGTTGATCTATAAAATCGGGTTTCCATATTAGCACGATTAAAGGATTGATCTGATGAACTATAAAAAATGTTTCCAAAGTTAACAAATTTATAGGGATACCCTGCTTATTTATAAGACACAGTTTCTAATGTTAGTAAAATTATGTGTGCCCTGTGATCTATAAAATCAATTTCCAATATTAATTCGGGGATTAATCTGATAATCGGTTTCCAATATCATCAAAATTATATTTAGATTCTGAAGATCTATAAAATGGTTTCTAATGAATTACAAAAAGTTATTGACGATGTTAACAAAATTATAGGTTTGATTTGATAAACTATAAATGTCATATCCAGTGTTAGTAAATATATAGGATTCATCTGATGATATAATATACTACAGGGTTTCCGATGTTAACAACATTATAGGAATTAATGATCAATAAAATTGGTTTCCAATGTTAACAAAATTACAGGATTAATCTGATGAACTAAATAAGCGGTTTCCAACTTTAACAAATTTATAGGGTTGATCTGATGAACTATAAAAGCTGATTCCAATGATGGCAAAATAACAGGGTGCCTTATTAGCTATGAAAGCAGTTTGTAATATTAACAACATTATAGGATTGATCAGGCGGACAGTAAAGTTTATTTCTAATGTTAATAAAATTAGAGGATTCATCTGATGATCTATAAGACAAGGTTTTCAAAGTTAATAAAATTAGAGGATTCATCTGATGATCTATAAGACAAGGTTTTCAAAGATAATAAAATTATAGGAGTTCTCTGATGATCTATAAGACAAGGTTTTCAAAGTTAATAAAATTATAGGAGTTCTCTGATGACCTATAAGACAAGGTTTTCAAAGTTAATAAAATTATAGGAGTTCTCTGATGATCTATAAGACAAGGTTTTCAAAGTTAATAAAATTATAGGAGTTCTCTGATGACCTATAAAAGAGTTTTTGCCATGAAAACAAAATTGAGTAAAGAATAGCTGGTTGATCGGATGAATTCTAAAAACTGTTCTTAGTGTTAGTTTTGATGCCAACGAATACTCGTTGCCACTTTCGTAATGCGTTGTAGTAGAGACTTTGTAATCACAGATACAACTATAGTAACGCCATTGAACATTACTGGTGTCAGACGCTTTCGAACAGCACTCGCACTAATAGTACTTGCTCGATAATACTCACTCGAATAGTAACCAGCGAATAGAAATCAGTATAGAGAAATAGTATAGCGAATAGAGTAGAGAATAGCGGTCCGTATAGTAACAGAGGATAGAGTAGAAATGGTGCTCGATTAGACGTCTCGCTAATTCCCATATATATATTTCCTTTACTGTCACGTGATCTATTTATTCAAAATGGAATCGCCTGTGTTGGCTCCCTGTTGATATGTGTTCAAACTCTAGTTTAGGCAACGACACTTTATTCCTATATGAAAGCAAAATTATAGGGTTGCTCTGATGATCTATAAATCTGTTTCTAATATTATCGAAATTATAGGATTGATCTGATGATCTATAAAAAGGTGTTTCCAATGTTAATAAAATTATAGGATTAATCTGATGATCCATTTTAACAAAATTATAGGAGAATTTGTTGATTTATAAAAGCCGTTTTTCATATTAACAAAATGATATTCCTCTGATGAACTATAAAAAGCAATTTCCAATTTAAACAAAATTTGAGGATTGTTTTGGTGATTGATATAATCAGTTTGCACTATTAACAAAATTAGAACTGATGAACTATAAAATGCGGTTTACAATGTCAACAAAATTGTAGGAGTGCACTAATGATCTATAAATTCGGTTTCCAATATTAGCAAAATTATTGGATTGATCTAATGAACAAGATGAAGCAGTTTCTAATGTTTACAAACCTATCTTGATTAAGGTGATAAACTACACCCGGGTCCTGATAAACTACATCCAACAGCAAGGCCTCTTATCAGGAGAATTTGACGCGGTAGAACCACCTCTTAATTGCTGGTGTTCCCAGGTCCACCCGGACTCGGGGTGTTGGCACCTCTTAGGTTCCCAGCTATGGGCAAATATTTAACCCCTAAACTGGTGTCAAACACTACGAAAGTGGAAAAATAGGTTTAAATGCAGGTAATATTCTTTTGTAAAAAAATTAACAGCAATAAATTTTTGGGAAATTATTAACAGCAATACATTTTTTGAAAAAAAAAATCATTACCAGCAATAAAAATCTTGTCGGTATTAAATAAGGCACTGAGGCTGTTATGCCGTAAAAGGAAACAAAACAAACAAACAAATTAATAAACCTTTAGAATTTTTCTGATGATCTATTAGACACTGTTTCCAATTTTAACAAAATTATATGAATGGTCTGATGACCTACACAACAGGTTTTCAATGTTAACAAAATTTATAGGAATGTTTTGATAATCCATAAAAGCGGTTTCCAATATTAGCATTATTATAGGAATAAATTAAGATCTAAATAATAACTATAATAATTTAAAAGCGTTACATTATTTACATTATTCGGACTATTGTCCTCATTTTTGTCGCCATATTTATTACAATGTTTCGGCCGTTGTACGCTCCGGCCTTCTTCAGGTAGTTAGAATGTCGAACTGAACCCTTTATTTTGCTCACTGGCGTAGACTGTCCTCGTTCCACGTGCCATATTTAATGGATGTCAGTTATCAGTTATCTCCTGTTAATTTTCCCTCTGAAAGTTCTCCACTGCCTTGACCAGTTATTGAACTCACACTCTTTGGGTCATGTCACTGGATCTAACCAACACCTTTTATCCACTGTGCCATCTGTCCACGGTGACAAAAATGAGGACAATAGTCCGAATAATGTAAATAGTGTACATAATACCTCATCTCAGAAATATAGACAGATACTGAAAGGCCGAAACGTTGTAATAAATATGGCAACAAAGATGAGGACAATAGTCCGAATAATGTAAATAGTATACAAAATACCTCATCTCAGAAATATAGACAGATACTGAAGCACCGAAATGTTGTAATACATATGGCGACAAAGATGAGGATAATAGTCAGAATAATGTAAGCAGTGTATATAATACCTTATCTCAGAAATATAGACAGATACTGAAAGGCCGAAACTAAGGGGTTGATAAGCCGTAAAAAGATGTATCAACCAATTAATCAGCCTCAATTTATAGATTCGGATCTCAGCAGTAATATCCATTCCACTATCTGCCCCACCCCACCGATTTCCTCCCTAATATCACCGATCGCCATTTGATAGCTTTAATAAGATCGTTTTTAATAAATATACTCTATTTCCGTGAATCTATAGAGACCTGGAAAGAAGCCATGGGACCTTGGGCGTAAATACACACTCTACTCAACCCGGCTCATAAAAACCAAAATACTGTCTACAATTGTCAATATAATTTTCTTCTTCTTCTTCTTCTTCTTCTTCTTCTTCTTCTTCTCTGCCTCTTCCTATTCTCCTTTCCCTCCTCCTCCTCTTCTTTTTCTTCTTCTCCTCCTCCTCCTCTTCTTCTTCCCTCCTCCTCCTCTTCTTCTTCTTCTACACCTCCTCCTCCTCTTCTTCTTCTTCTCCTCCTCCTCCGCCTCTTCCTATTCTTCTTCTCCTCCTCCTCCTCTTCTTCTTCTCCTCCTCCTCCTCTTCTTCTTCTCCTCCTCCTCATCATCTCCTTTTTCTACACCTCCTCCTCCTCTTCTTTTTCTCCTCCGCCTCTTCCTATTCTTCTTCCCCTCCTCCTCTTCTTCTTCTTCTACACCTCCTCCTCCTATTCTTCTTCTTTTTCTTCTTCTCCTCCTCCTCTTCTTCTTCTTTTTCTTCTTCTCCTCCTCTTCTTCTTCTTCTTTTTCTTCTTCTCTTCCTCTTCTACACCTCCTCTTCCTCCTCCTCTTCTTCTTGTTCTTCTTCTCAGCCAGTAAAGATATTTTGTTATACACAGGCCTTTCGCAGATCATGACAAGGATTGCGCCATTATCATATTGCGCCGGCCCAGTGCCTCTTGGTAGCGACGGATGTGACATACGTGGACGATCATGTTTCATCACGACCCTTAATCGCCCAACGATATTTGCGCGTAAGTGAATGTAACGAACCCGGCTGGAATTTGAACTCGGAACGCCGATTTCATCCAATACACCACCCGCATATCGCGCATCCAAGCGTAATGTGCCTGGTATTCCCAAGATGTCGAAATACACGATAGATAAATCATAGGACTTTCGAGCCAAAAGTCTCTATTTATCAACGATAAGATTAGCTTTACAAGGACATTTTCATTTTTAGGTGTTCACTAATGGTCGATTCCTTGTACCGCTCCAGTACGTATCTGACTCCCTTTTGCTAGACTCTATCTTTACAAAAGCCAGGTCAAACCATGTGTAAAAGCGTCTACGTGGATTTGTGGCTGATGAATTATTTCCCCCTGTCAATCTCTTTCGCACAGAGGAAACGTCAAGGTCCTCTCGCTGCACTGTCTATATTTTCATGGCCTGTCTTGTGACGTGCTTCATTCCTTTGTCCCACTCTCTGATCTTTAAACTGGGACCCGTCATGCCGCACACACGAGTGAATCATCCCCATTCCCTTCGTATTCCATTAGTAAGGAGTAAGTTCCACTGGGACAGCTTTTCCCCAAGAACTGCTACTTTATGGAACATACTCTCGGTAGGATGTTTTTCCAATCACTACAATATTGGTCTTTTCAAATCTAGGTATAATAGTTATCTTTCCGCCATAATCACATGAACTGCACTCCTTTTCTTCTGTTCATCCAATACCATACACTGACCCTCTACGTTGAGTGGCTCTTGGGTCTAGTATCGTGTGAAAATTAGGATAAAACAGTTTGAAACAATATTATGTCAATGTATTAGAATTTGCACTACTTTGCATTTGTACAAATCGGCACTACTGAAGATTACCCTCGGAAAAATTTATTTTGGAATCATTTTTATACATTAGCATTCGTTAGAACTTTCCTTTAATCACAACATTTTGAAGAATTGAAAATATTAATTTTTATCATTTTAGAAGGCGGATCCTGTGTCGACACCAGACCCCAACGTTATTGCATCTATGGTATCAAAGAAATACGGTTTCTTATTCTTACTCATTTTATTAGAGGAATGGGACAGACGTAGCAGCATGAATTCTAGGATGCAGAGGGAGAAAAAGTCTCAATGGATGCTTGCCGCTCTTCTCTCCACCTGTGGTCTTATCCTGTCCCTCGGACCTGGTTGTGGGAAGCGTATCGGCGCTTCAGAACAACTGCGCCCCAATGCTGACGGCGCGTAGTTTTGGAGTTAGACAAATCCATCACTATCAGAATACCACGCCCATAATGCATGCTGATCAATCGCTGACCATTCCGGCCAATCCGCCGTATTCTGTAATAATGTGTCAAATAGCTCTCTGACTTCAAAAAGCGTTAGCAGGACATTGTTTTTATGTACAAACTGTCAGCTTTTAAATTGTGCCTATGTCATCGATAACTGCGTACTGTTACAAATTGACATAAGGTCAACAACAGTAGAATGGAGTTACGAATGCGCAAGCCGGGTTCAAAACTTGACACTTCTAGACTGATGTAAAAATCAATATTCTTTCGATTCAGATAAATGTTCTGGCTTCAGAAAGGTCTAATGAATGCTACTCTATAAAGATTATTACCTCACAAATCTTTCTCTGTGTAACTAGTGATAAAGTTTTCATTTGTCGATTTGTAATGAAACATACTTGAATCGTAAGGGCGACTATGAAAGCATTGGAGAAAAGCTAAGGAGAAAGAAGTCAATTGATAAATGCCCAATGTCACTTCCTTATGATTCTATTAGTTCGCAAGAAAAGACAGCTGAAATTCATAGACAGACAGAAACTCTACTGTCGTAGATGTCAGATAAAGTTTCAAGTAGAGGGAAGTGTGACTATTCAGCGTAACAATAAGATGGAAGAATCAATTTAATATGACATTCAATGCGTGTACGACAAGTTAATAAATACGTCAGATTAATATGAACAGTCCATTCTACGGTTGGACTGCTAAAATTGAAAATGCTGACTTGCTATTAAGCTACCTTCTTCTAGCATATAATGCTGTACTCTTTCAGGATATAGGCGATCATAGCTCTCCACAATTTCCCGTCTTTTATTGCCCTAAACAATATTGGTCCTAGTGTCATCTATCTTTGTTCTTGTTCTAGCATCCATTCACTCAAACTCGATGTGTAGGTCATTCGTTGTGTCCAGCAGCATCGCTTTCATCCCGTATGTCATGTCAGTGTTAAATTCTCCAATCCGCCTTTCCCCATTCTATGTTCTAGTAACTTCAGTTCTCTCTTCCGGGCGTTTAGCATTAGTTTCCCATCGGAAATCAACCGCTAATATATTTACATGTCGCATACATCACCTAGATAAGACAAACACATCACGTGTTTCATCATTTTCAGTGAGCAACCCCAAAGAAAACATTGGAAAGTATTTTTCACCTGATATTCTAAACAACTAGAAATTGGGTTAAAAAGAAAAAAAATATATATATATATATATATATATATATATATATATATATATATATATATATATATATATATAAATATTTGTTTATATTTACTTTTATAGATAGAAGTATTTAAGTAAATGCTCTGTTTGATAAAACAGAGTATTTACTTAAATATGTCTGTCTAAAAAATAACACATAAACAAATATATATATGTAACACATAAACAAATATATATATATATATATATATATATATATATATTTAATGAAACGTGCATGAATGAAAAGATGCTGCCTAAATACACAAAATTTAAATTACATGATCCAGCAACCCACAATACTATCAATACTTGGAATTACAAATGTAGCCTTGTGAAAAGGCAAATTGAAATAGCAAAAGAAAAATCGAACAACCTTAACAGCAACAAACAGGACATTTAAGCCGAAAGCTTAGATTGTATTAAAAAAAATATGGATCAATAATTGTGAATTTCTTTCTTCGTTCAACGATAATGTTATTAAACTTATCAGATTTTACGAAGAAATTTTACATAAAATACACAAAAATTGTCTATATTATTTAATGAAACGTGTATATATATATATATATATATATATAGAGAGAGAGAGAGACAGAAAGAGACAGAAAAAGTGAGATAAAAAGAAAGAGTGAGAAAATGAATGACTAGACTAAGAAAAAAAATACACAAACCATTAGGTTAAACGTTTATACCTAAAATAGGACTTTGAAAAATACTTTTATCAAGTTTGATAAAATTCTAAGATGATAAAAATTTGAATTTATGAAGTTATTTCTGCAAAAAAAAATATCAGGTATCAAATGATTTATGTCCTTTGTTTGAATTCTCAATGAAAAGTGAAACACGTGGAAATACAGAGATTCGGTTCGCAGCTCTTTAGGATTCGAATGTCGCGTCGAAGCGATATAAAGATTGAGAGCATGTGTTAGAGAGATCAAGTTTTTAACTCTCACCCGTTTTGTTCTCGAGAGGAAAGGAAAAGTCAAAGATTTAGTGTCACTTGCGAGGAAGAGGCTGGGTCTTCTGATAAGCGCAACATGAAAAGAAAGAAAGGAAACTGACTGGCAGAAAATTTATTATAAGCAGCAAACTTAAAGAAAATATGTGCTTATAAAAAGACTGAAAATCCGATCACTCAAAAGATAGAAATAAGATGAAAACAGGCAACAATTCGCGTGAAAAATCAGGAATCAAAAAGGAAAGTAAAAATGAAAGAGACATGAATAAAAAGAAGAAAATAACTTATTTGTGTAGAGTTTGTTTTGTTTAGCCTCTCAACGAACAAAAGAAAACAATGAGAAAAGAAAATATAATTGACACTTAACCTCCAGAAGATAAGAGTTTTAGTATTTTAGCCAAGAACTATATGAATCGCAGATTAAGCCGTCAACTAAATTTATACTCCAACCGTAAGCTACGTATAAAGAAATATTTTATTGTTTAGAGTATCTCTCGATCTCCCAGCGTTACCGAGAAACATGCCAAATTTTTCATCTTCTTGGAAAAGAACCCGTTCTAATTTAAAGAGAATTGTTTCTGTTGTTATTTCGCCCCTGCGTGTTGATTTTCTATTCGGGGTTATTTTTGTTGATCTACAAAGGTTTGGGCTTCCTGGACGTCCGTACCAAACACAAAGAAACTCTCAAGAGAAACGTCATGGTAAGTCATTTATCTGGGAATATGTGTCAAAGCTCACTCGATTCCTCGAATCCAACAATACTCTTTTCACCAGGAGAATACTCAACAATGAAAGAGAAAAATAATCATAAGAAGTCATTTGCTTCCGTTTCATAACGTGATTCTATGTAGATTGCAGATTCGATAAGTCTCACTTCGCTCACTTGTTTCAGAAGATATTGCAAACGCTTTTTAGCTTTTATACTTTTTCTTGTTCTAATTTTGCGACATTCCTTTGATAAAGAGGTTGGCTGAAAAGCCTAATGCTTCCTTATCAGTAGCTTTTCTTGACCATTGTTGGTATTACATACAAGAGATGAAATTTATATATATATATATATATATATATATATATATATATATATATATGTGTGTGTGTGTGTCTGTGTGTGAAATGGAAAAGTCCGACAACTATTTTAAGACATTTTTTTATGTTTATACGTTCTTTTTATAATTGGCGAACTTTCCTAATGTGTGACGTCATTTGTTTACATTTAGATACGCATCGAGCAAATATGAATGTGCGAGAGAAAATCACGGAGAATTGTAGTTTTAAAACAGTAAAATCGACCTTGCTAACCGAAACGCTCCTCTGTGGTTCAATCGGAAAAAGCACGTCAGGCTATATGACGGTTTCGTATAGAATACAGGTTCGATTCCTGTCGGAGGACAGATATTTTCTATGAAAATTTCTCGGACATTCAGTCTGGTAAATGTCGTTAATAATGTTTATTATAAACAGAGCATTTACTTATTTGTATCTACAAAAAGAACATATAAATATAAAAAATGTCTTTATATATATATATATATATATATATATATATATATATATATAGTGATTGCAATTCCTCTTTTATAAATGTTTCATTAAAGACGTCTGACAAGGTACTGCGATTAAGCTTTTAATTAATTTTTCTTTTGTTCGTATTAGTATTTTCTTTTCTACATATAAAGAATGTAAAAATTGTACAAATGTTCTCTATATCCAAGCGCTTTCGGCTATTCTTTTAGCCATTATCGAGAATCATTTTCATTTTTTTTTAATTTTTAAATGAATATATGCATTTTTATGTATGCATTTAGAGTTATGTCACACTATTTAGCTATGGTAATTAATTAACTAATTAGCCATAAAAAACTGAACGGTAAATGCTGAAAATAGAAAAGAAGGGTTAAAAAGATATCCCGAAAGATATGCCGTTCAATATAAAAATATTTTATTTTATTTCCCCAAAAATATGTTTTTTTCAAGAAACCAAAGAATTGTGTCAAAGATAAATTCACAGGAAGGCCATGTGATGATCTTTGACAACTGATTAATGCTGGGTAAGAAAACACAAAATAACCATAATCGACGAAGATATCGTCCAAGGGTGCAAAGATATTATGAATTGGCCAGTCGACAGGGTCATGTGTCAATTGTAAGTATTTTGGCAAGTGGAAAAAGGATTGCATAAACAAAGTTCCAGTTGAGCATTCTAAACTGAGAAATCTTGAATAAGCAGTGATGTCAAAGAGTTAATTAATGAAGCAAGCTCAGCCACACCAGCACAATCAAGACGCGGAGGTAAATTAGCAAGAAAAACGAAGAAGTTACTAACACCCACCAAAAGGAATTGGTGTGAGATACTAATGTGAAGAGGAGGGAGTCTAGGAGGATAGCTATCCTGCAACCTTTTATCACAGACGAAAGGATCCCCTCCAGAATTTGGAATTAATTAATTTTCCAAAAATAGGAAGTAACTAATTTTCATAGTCATACAACTAAGGGACCCTTGTTGAAATCGGGGATACACCGAGAACCCCAGGCTGCGTCTAACCCCGCACAGGATTTTGGTCGAAGTCCATATAAGTGAAAGCCGTCGGGCAGTTCGACAGTTCGCGCGCAGGGGCCAGCCAGTTGCGGTTTGCAGTTGGAGAGAGCTGGCAGAGAGATTCCACGATTCTTGCATCCGACTTCGCCTTTCTACAAAACAGAAATTATACTAGGGCAACTAGTGGTATCGACTTCTCTTGGATCGCCTCCTTCGAGCGATGACGTCAAGAAGCTAGCTCCCTATCAAACACACCATGTTGAGATTCTAAACTGGGTCTTATGCCAAATGTTTAAACCACTAGGCCACGCGCTCATAACGGACCAATTAAATGTTCAGTGCCAATTTTGGTGCGATAAATCCGAATGTACGCATTGCTGTGATATGTTCGCACTCCGTCACTCTTTCTGGATTCGGAGAAAATGCCCGTGTTTTTGGCTCTAGATTGCGTTTAGAAAATCTAAAAGAAATGCTTTATCCAGAATTAACTTTTAAATACAAATCTTTGTACAGCGTCGATCAAAATCTAAAATAGAAATTTCCAAATTGTAAAAAAAAATATATATATATATATATATATATATATATAGTGATTGCATATAAATGTTTCGACGTCTGACAAGGTAAAATTAATTTTTCTTTTGTTCGTATTAGTATTTTCTTTTCTACATATAAAGAAAAAAATTGACAAATGTTCTCTATATCCAAGCGCTTTCGGCTATTCTTTTAGCCATTATCGAAATCATTTTCATTTTTTTTTAATTTTTAAATGAATATATAAAATTTAGAGTTATGTCAACTATTTAGCTATGGTAATTAATTAACTAATTAGCCAAAAAAAACTGAAAAATGCTGAAAATAGAAAAGAAGGGTTAAAAAGATTTGAAAGATATGCCGTTCAATATAAAATATTTTATTTTATTTCAAAATATGTTTTTTTTGTAAGAAACCAAAAATTGTGTCAAAGATAAATTCACAGGAAGGCCATGTGAATCTTTGACAACTGATTAATGCTGGGTAAGAAAACACAAAATAACCATAATCGACGAAGATATCGTCCATTATTATGAATTGGCCACGACAGGGTCATGTGTCAATTGTAAGTATTTTGGCAAGTTAAAGTTCCAGTTGACATTCTAAACTGTCTTGAATAAGCAGTGATGTCAAAGAGTTAATTAATGAAGCAAAGCTCAGCCACACCAGCACAATCAAGACGCGGAGGTAAATTAGCAAGAAAAACGAAGAAGTAACCACCAAAAGGAATTGGTGACTAATGTGAAGAGGAGGGAGTCTATAGCTATCCTTTTATCACAGACGAAAGGATCCCCTCAGAATTTGGAATTAATTAATTTTCCAAAAAAAGGAAGTAACTAATTTTTATAGTCATACAACTAAGGGACCCTTGTTGAAATCGGGGATACATCGAGAACCCCAGGCTGCGTCTAACCCCGCACATTTTGGTCGAGTCCATATAAGTGAAAAGCCGGCAGTTTATTGCGGTTTGCAGTTGGAGAATTTCCTGATTCTTGCATCCGACTTCGCCTTTCACAAAACAGAAATTATACTAGCAACTTGGTATCGACTTCTCTTTCGCCTCCTTCGAAAAAAAGCTAGCTCCTATCAAACACACCATGTTGAGATTCTAAACTGGGTCTTATGCCAAATGTTTAAAACCACTGGCCACGCGCTCATGGACCAATTAAATGTTCAGTGCCAATTTTGGTGCGATAAATCCGAATGTACGCATTGCTGTGATATGTTCGCACACTCTTTCTGGATTCGGAAAAATGCCCGTGTTTTTGGCTCTAGATTGAAAAATCTAAAAGAAATGCTTTATCCAGAATTAACTTTTAAATACAAATCTTTGTAGTCGATCAAAATCTAAAATAGAAATTTCCAAATTGTAAAAAAAAAAATATATATATATATAAATAAATAAAAGCGCCGAGTAAATAATTGATTTCAGAAAAATGACGGTGTAGGTGAAGATTTAAAAATGAGACAAGATGGCCGAATAAGAAAAAAAATATAGAGTAAGATTTGTTGAAAAATCTTGAAATTGCATTCAAAGTCACTGGAGAATCACTTGCCTTACTGTTTATTACTGTTTATTATCTTTATTTATTTTACGTCTGTCTCGGCAGCTTTCAGAAAGCATTAACTCGTAATTGGTGACGGTAAATGATTTTTATGCATTTCCACTCGTCACAAAACATTAATAGGCTTTATATAAATATATCAGGATTCATTACTTTTGCTTGTTTCCTTTTTAAAACATCGCATTGCAACGTTGGCTTTATTTACTGATTGTGCCGAGAAATAATCACTTGAAATTGACAACGAAATAAGAAAAGGTGGGAATGACTCTGGTCTCTTGCCAGGATCGGGGAGGGGCGAACAATGAACAACTGAAGCGAATAAATGTCGAAGCTCTCATAGAAATCAGTTGTAAAAGAAATCCAATTTGTAGAATTAAGTCTTATTTGCACAGAAATTTATGATTTTTACCTAATGGAACAATCAAAATCGAAGAAAGACGTGTTGAATCTCTTCTACATCTATCTATCTATCTATCTATCTATCTATCCAGTCTGTTCATATCTACATATCTTGTCAGTCTGTTTATATCTACCTACCTATGTATATATCTTGTCAGTCTGTTCATATCTATCTATCTATCTATCTATCTATCTTATCAGTCAGTTCATGTGGAGAAACGCATTTCTTTTGCATTGAGTATCTTTCTAGCATTTACTTCCATATAGAAAGACTGATATTACATGACTGTTCATAGACCTTCTCTTTGTTTCTAAGGAAATTTTCTTATTTTTATACTTTTTCTCAGCTTTCGGAAAGTATCTTTCGCTATTCAAATCCACCAACTCGCTGATATCGTTTTCATTTTTCCAATGATGGCAAGATTTCCCCGTCACCATAGAAGTTAAAATCAGAACATCTTCAGGAACATAATATTTCCCAAAGCCAAAAGTGGGTGAAAAATAGATTGCTATCCGCATCAAGGCGTCTTTTTATCATGGTCTTAGAATAATTCGTAAGGTTTAAATCTGGCGAACACACAGACTGCTTCATAAATCGGAAATGTTCTAATGTCCTGACAGAATGGGATTTGCGCTCAATATCACACCAGACTATCAAGGGAGTCAGCTACAGGGTTGACTTGAATTTTAATCCACCGAATGTACAATCCCGTAACCTTATAGCTGCATCTAGTTTTGAAAGAATGGAAACAATCTGCATGACAGAGATAGACATATAAGCTACTACACAGGGGGATGAGTTGGGCATTCTTTTGTATATCACAGACAAGAATGAAAGGTCCCCGTGAAAGTTATCCGTAGCCGCAAACACATACACACCAGCCGAGAGAAATTGGTGAAATGTTGGTGTGAAATAAATTGTAATTTGTAATAGCAGCGTTGCAATTTCATTTTTTTTAACTAATTTTAATCCCATGCAAGGCCCAAGAGCCACTCAAGGCGGAGGGTTACTGAAGATGTGTGAGGGGTAAGAATTAGAGGTAGAGTTTATGAGAATATGTGGGAAAGATAACGGCTAACCCTAGACTCGTAGAGGTTGTTTGTTGTACTGGAGAAAAAGCGTCCATTTTGAAGTCAATTCCACAACCGTCCTGGGTATGACGATAAATTACATGCGCGTCCTGGGTATGATGATAAATTACATCCGCGTCCTGGGTATGATAAGGAGGTCTTGAGGAGCGTGGAGCCACGTCTTAATTGCTGGTGTTCCCAGGTCCACCCTGACGCGGGGTAGTAGCACCTGTTAGGATCCCAGCTATGGGCAAATAGTTAACACCCACACTTGTGTAAAAATAGGTTTTAAAACCAGAATTACTTTGTAATAAAAAAAATTACCAACAATAATTTTTGAAGGAAAAATTATTATCAGCAATACTTAAAAAAAAAATACTAGCAATACAAAAAGCTATACATTCTTTGGAAAAAATATGAACAGTTGTAGATTTCCTTCCCAGAAATAAATTTTTAAAGAAAAACATTTCCAGCAATAAAAATTTTGTCGGCATTAAATAACCCATTGAGATTGATATGCCGTAAAACAAAATAAACCAAACCAATCAATTCCACAAATTAGCAGTTCGTACAAAAACTTACTTCTTACTAATGAAATGGAATGGGTTTGGTTCACCGCACTGTACGCAATATGACGGGTCTTAGCTGGTAGGGTTAGGGTTGGTGGTGCTAACGAATGTAGCTCGTCTGAACATTTTCCATGGAAATAGCGATAGAATAGCAAGAGGCTTGTAACGTTTTCCCTGTGGAATTGTAGAATGGAAAATAATTCATCACCCACAAGTCCGCGTAGATTGGAAACTATAAACTGGGCAGAACCTGTTAGATATGTGGGCAGAACCTGTTTGATATGTCAGCAGTACACGGATGTCGGACGGATCTGGCTCTTGTAAAGTTAGAGCATAGCAGAAGGAGTCAGGTACTTACTGGAGCGATATAGGAAACCGGCCATTTTCCAACATCTTTAGCGATGAATTGTATGTACGAGTTCCATTTGAGGTCTGGATTGAGCTTAAGTTCCAATAGGAGTTCAAGGTAAAGGGCTTTGTGAGAAAACGCGTTCATTGCAATAGACGAACATTTGAGGTCTGCCCGGTGATGAGGAAACGTCATTAGTTTGTTTTTTGCAAAATTAAAAGTGACTGGTCCGTTTTTACCCCCTTGAGTTGTTAGTGCTCGATCAAAATGATCAGCTGAAAGGGTCTGGTCATTTAAGTCTTTGTAGGTGACCATATACCGATGTATCATTAATATAAAATAGATAGATAGATAGATAGAGAGAGAGAGAGAGAGAGAGAGAGAGAGAGAGATAGTTGGATGAATAAACAAACTTTGTTTAGTGATTAGCTACTTTAATAATTACATGTGTAAGGTTTCTTATGGACATTTTATAGTACATGGAATAATAGTAGTGAAAAAAGTCCATGAACAAAATAAGTGACTAATTGATTTGTACTGCAAACTAAAATTTAATAAAACAAAATTAACAAAAGTAATGTTTAAATCAAGACTTTCTTTTGTTAGACGTAAATGGTAAACGCCGCAAAATCATTAATATGCTATAGTCGTAACATTGCTGGTGTGTTTTATTGAAAAGCAGTTACAGCCATTGTAGCTTCAGCATGGAAAGTTCATGTCATTCGATAGAGGGAAAACCCGGAAAGAGAGAAGTTACTTCAGGGTTGACATGTTTTTATATTCGAATGTTGCTGCTGATATAAGGCTTATTTCGAGTTCTCTCCTAGTATATTTAAGGTCACCCTAAGAGGACTGGTCATTAAGAATTTCATGTTGTCTCGACTTTGATATTTTTAATGAAATTACTCTCGATCAGATTAATAATCAAGCAGAGTTAACTCTGATGAAAACGTTCGAATACACTGATGATTGTATAATGATACAAATATTCAAAGAAGCAATTATCAGATAAAGTATTCCAGCAGTTTTTACACATACGTAAAATAACAATATGAAATTATTTAAGAAATGTTCATTGTTGGGTTGAGTCAGGTAACAAGTGTCTATGACATTTTGTTCCCTTGGTATTTCTTTTGCAAATATATGTAATACATCATCTAAACAAATTCTTTGTACTTACATTATTTACATTATTCGGACTCTTATCCTCATCTCCATTGCCATATTCACAACGTTTCGGCCATTGTACACTCTAGCCTTCTTCAGGTCATTGGAATTTCGAACCGAACCTTTTATTTCGTCAACGGGTGTAGATTGTTCTAATTCCACGTGCCATGCTTCTTCATGGTGTCTCAGTTATTTCTCTTTAACTCAAATCTCCAATTCTTTGGTTCCCCACGGCTGTTGGTTAGATCCATTGACTAGACCCAAAGAGTTGTAAGTTCAATGCCAGGCCTCTTCAATATCGAAATATTTCACTTACTTGAAACAATTTTAATCATTGATCTGAGAAAACAGTTGTACATAGCTGATAGCTTAAACATTTGTGAACGGATTGGACGCCATACATGACACACATGTGAGAGTTTAGATCGGAGAAGGTTATTTAAGTACATGTCTCAAGTTCTTAATTTAATGTTTTGGTATTTTTGATAAAGCCCCGCCTAGCGCAGCCTATTCTGTGGTCAATTTACAAATACGTTTTTAACTCGCATTTTTTATTTAATATAATATTAAATACACTAAACTTGCAGAGTATTGATATCAATTGAATGGCGTTGTGAAATAGTGTTATTCTTAACTTGAGGCACGCATACATTTTTGCTCGAATTCTACCAATAAAGTCCGTCAGTCTGCTAACTTTGCCAAGAAATGTAGGACATAAATTGCTAATTTTACCAGCTTTTCAAAGAAAGGTTGAGAGTTGGGATTCAATAAACGACAGTTTTGGAAAATGATATTTCTAACATTTCACAAAAGATGGCCACAGGAATTAGGAGGCCAGATCAAGGTGGCAGTAGGTGAAAACAAGCAGAGAAATATTACATTGTATACTTAGAACATTAAGCATTGTAAAAAAAGAACAAAAAAAACGCCATTTTAAGAAATAGAGAAAATGTTTGATATTCTCTCTCTCTCTCTCTCTCTCCCTCTCTCTGTATATATATATATATATATATATATATATATATATATATATATATATGTGTGTGTGTGTGTGTGTGTGTGTGTGTGTGTGTGTGTGTGTGTGTGTGCAAATATATAGAAAAATAGGAAAGAATACGTTAGGTAAATAATCCTAAGTTCTTTAGTATTTTGTTTTTATTTTTTAAAAAAACAGTGCTCAATACAAAAGTAGAGCCTAAATTATAATTATTTTTTTTTTTTTAAATATGATTCCTTCGCTACATAGGAGTTCTCATGTTTCAAAAACAAGAGACAAAACCTCTTTTTTCATCCTCAAGGAAATTTTTTGTAATAACTAATCTTGAAGTTTACGCATCTTTATAAGCAAAATTAGTTACTATGGAAACGGCTGAAGCGACCAGTCCAATAGGGAGAGTAAGGGTTAACAATTTGTATCAATATATCTATCACCCTCAGAAAGAGGAGAAGCCAAGGCAAAGCCAGGGTGTCCATTTCAAAGCGAATGATGACATTCCTATACGCACATTGTCTAGTCCTTCTTAGCGACAGAGAGTTATTGGCACCGATGTACGGCGTTAAGTGTCTGAAGATTCTTTTTCTAAAAGGGCTGTTTGTACATAAACGCATCGCACCGTTTTATGTATGATGGACACTTCCGTCTAACTATAATTTTTACAAGACGAGAGTCCATCATACATAAAATTGGGATTGAATTTTCAATTACATTATATTATATATATATATATATATATATATATATATATATATATATATATATATATATATAAACGAATAGATGTCAACCTAACAAGCAATAAGATAAAAGTTTTAGTGGAATAAAAAAGATTACTAAATATAAAATGGATTACTCTTTCAATGTTCTGTCTATGAATTTTTCCAATCGACTGTTTCATAGAAAATACCCAAAACTCGATCGAATTTCAAATTAATTTCTTCGTAGATTGTTTTAACATTTAGATATTTATCAAACCTTAACCTCCCAAATATGCACGTTAAAGTAACGCGAATTAACAGCGTCTAAGAATTTGAATGAAACCTGTCG